AAGAACCAATCAAATTTTGTGAAGACAAGCGATCTGGGAGCGTGATTCGCAACGCTGCGATCGCTGTTGCATCCCGTGTGTCGGGTTTCACCCTGGCTGCGATGACAGCCGTTAATCGCTGTAGTTTGTCGCTGCCCGTGTGTCGAGCCCTTTACACTCTTGTAAAATGGCTGACTCATCGTCTTCAGTCAGTAAAATCTGTCACACTAACGGTTGCTTAAATTGCATAAATTAATAGTTTAGGGATGAGTCACTTCTTTCTAGACCATGCAGATTGTTTTGTTGTTTATATATAATTTGTTGGAACTAAGCTGAGAAAATAAATATCGAGTTCAAATAAATGATAKAACGAGGTAAGGTTCTCCTTTTTAAATTAATTGGTGCATTTTAAGCATATTTATTTATTTTTTGGGCCATTTAAAAAAATTCTGGTTTTATTTTTACTTATGTGAGTTTGGGTCCTCCTCACTGAGCACTCGGGGCTGCAGCTTCAGATGTTTTCTTATAGGACAGCTCATTTGCATGTGTTTAAAATACCATAGATATCCAGACCAGTGTTTCCCAACCCTGGTCCTCAAGGCACACTGCCCTGCGTGTTTTAGACYTCTCTCTGTTTTGACACACCTGATTCAGATGACTGCAGTTCATGAAAAGCCTGCTAATCAGTTACCAAATGAAATCAGCTGTGTTGAAGCAGGGAAACATCTAAAACATGCAGGCCAGTGCCTTGAGGACCAGGGTTGAAAAACACTGATCTAGACGGACGCTAAACTGAAATGATACCAAGAAATCGGCGAGAATTCTGAGAATATTTGAAAAGGAAATTTGTTGCACACATGCTTACGAATTAGTTGCCAATTGTTACAGACCAGTTAGAAACAAGATAGAACTGTATGCTGACCGTCGCTGTTGTCCCCTGTCACGAACAGACAGAGAGCATTTCTAAGTCCCCCTCCTCGGTGATGGGGGACAATAGCTGGGTTTCAGTCACGTCGTTTCGAAGACGGAATGATGTCCACTGGAGGGCAGGAGGTAAAATGTCTATGGAGGAAACTACTGTAGAGAGTCTGTATATTGTATAGGGCTGCCACGATTAGTCGATTAATAGACGACTAATCGATTATTAAAATAATCGATGACTAATTTAATAATCGATTTAATCGTTTTTTTCTCCAAACTGCTTTGACACCTTCCACTGCCACATCTGCCTTTCTGTCGACACACATGCACAGTAGTGGTAACTGGGGTAGGCCGTGGACGTCACAAGACATTATACAGACAGACTGGTATCATGGCTACCTGACAACAGAGCTCAAAGTGTGGGATCATTTTAAGAAAATGAAAGAGAAACCTGTGRAATATCTGCAGAGCAGAACTTGCCTTCCACAGCAATTATTTTTAGTTAGCATATAGCTAAAACCTAACGATGGCTATATAATAGCAGCTGCATTCTGGCGCGATAAGCTCTATGTTTTATATTCAATTAACGTATGATCTGATTAGTCGACTAATCGAAAAAATAATCTGTGATTAATCGATTATAAAAGTAATCGTTTGTGGCAGCTCTAATTTTGTATGGATTTAGATCCTATTTCAAGATATATAACAGTTTGTTCACAAATATATGTCAGATATGACTCATTTGATGAAGATGAATGAGTTTTTGACAGAACCTAAAGATTTACTGAGGCTGTCGGTACCACACACGTCTCACATCACCAAGTGCCAAATAATGACCAGCAAAAGTTTATCTGATGAATAATTTCACATAATTCTGTCCAACCCGATGACAACATATAACACTGATTACCACACAAAGATGAAAAATGTAGAAAGCTCACAGAACGACAACGTAAAAAGTGGATTTTTAAACCGTCTGCAGTCAGGAGGAGCAGAATGCCGCCGGTGTCTGCAGTCATCACTTCGTTCAGGGGTATGTTAGCTGCTAACTTGTTTTAGAGGTTATGTTTATAATGATCGTTTATATAGTAGTGAGTATTAAGTTACTGGTAGTTTAATGTGGACCTCATCTGGACTTTAGGCTGCCCTAGTTCTGTGTCGTTAGGTGCTGGAAGTTTGTTGATGTTAGTGGCTACTGCTAGCATGATCTTAACAGATAAAATCAGAACAAGCACTCACCCTGGCAAAAAACAAATGATAATCATCGTGGAGCTGTTTGGTACCGAGGTTGTGGATCCACRCGCTGAATAAAAAGTTCTACACCTCCCCGATGTTTGCCGGCTTTCATCAGCTGTTCGGTGTAGTTAGCATCAAGTTAGCGCCGCACCCTCTGCCCCGGCAGACTGGTAACAGGATGAAGATTTCCCCCGTAGAGTCRGCTCGGTGCTCMATCTTCTTCTCTTCCCTCTTTTAATTGAAATAGTGAATCACCTACRTRCMCATCAAAGTCCTCACTCTGTCTCCGACTGTTTTTCCTCCGTCTCTGCCTTTCAGCTCCTCTCTCAAATTGTGGCTCGGTCCGACTTGGTCCATCTGTCCTCAGCTGGACTGGAGCTCCACGTTCATCGCCTTTTTTTTTTTTGCACCAAAGACACTAAAATAACTAACTAAACTTCACCCTAACTATGAAATATGCTGTAGTTATACAAATATAATAAATGTAATAAATTTCAGATATCTCATTGCTGACTTCCGATCTCGCTGTCTCTCCATCGCTGCTGAACTTTATTCAACTTCCACCTCTTTTTATTTTTATCCTCCTYTAGATTTTTTTCCTCGTCTAATATTTTCAGACTACAGTCAGAAAGGAGTTTGGGGGTTTTATGTTTGTTCGGCGGGGTGGGGGTGACACCAGAGGGTGGAATGAGGTGTTTTCCCCCATGAATCAGCCCTCTTTTACATCCTCCTGCTGCAACATGCTTCAGATATGACGAACATTAATAAAAAGAGCCATAATTTAATTTAATATATAATTAAATCAGTGTATAATTATTTATTATTAATTCAGTTAGAATGATTTGAGTACTCGTAAACTACACAAGATGAGGCATTTTTTTAGATAGCTGATCCTCCACTTTTTCACTTCCAGACCTCCAGCCGAACTTTGCGCTCTCGTAGCACTGCATTGTGACGTCACGTGAAACCCTCCTACTAGGTACTGACCAGAAAGAAAAGTTTAAAAAATCGTATTGAAATTGGTCGATCAAGCTAAAAACCATTCATTTTGATCACCAACCTATTCATTTGTGCTTCCTTCTTATCTAGATCTAGAAAATGTATTAAAATGCTTGACGTTAATAGTTTTTAATACGTATGTTTCTCATATAACAGTGGATTATTGATGGCTTTCYGGTGCAGGTTTGACACCACAGCTGTGGGGTTTCAGTGTTCTTTATCTCATGTAATATATTGTTATGAGCCAGGTGTTCACATGGATACAGATAAATATGGTCKCCCAGTGTTTCCTGCTCTGTTTGTGTCCCGGCTTCAGTTGGAAATGTGAGCTCTGGGTGTGTAAACACTTCACACAATAACTATTGTGGAGAAGCACCTGCTTGTGTGTCTGTGCGCCAGACAGCTGTTGTACGATTGTGTTTTTGTCTCGAAGGCACACACAAACYCGCTCGGCGCTGGAAACTCCCGAGCATCCGAGCCGCTGCTCCGAGCCCTCATTGTTCAACACGTGTGTCCTCCTGTTGCCATAGGAAACCGACTCTGAAGCATCACACGGTTTCCATTGGTAACCACAGCTGTGTTTGAGGAGTACCCTGAACAGATATATTTCCTCGTGTCGTTTGATCCCAGAAGACTGTCATGTCCGGCCCCACCTGGCTGCCTCCGAGGACCCTGGATAGCCCCGAACGAGCCGTCCCCCAGATGTCGCACTCAGCCGGGGCAGCCATCTACGCAGTCCCCAACAAGAAGGGCACCCCAGATTTCAGACCTAAATATGGTTCCTATGATCATAACGGAGGAGGAGGAGGGATGAGCAACAGATACATGGCAGCTGGACCCCCAGGTGAGAGGACAAGGGTTTGGGAAGAGTTTAAAGCTGTAACATCTTCTGGGTGTCAGAAATAACTCTGACTATCCTATTTTCTATAACTATGAAAGAGGAACTGCTCYTGTCCTATAATGAACCCTATATGACCTGAACAGGAAGCGAAACTGGGAACTATGAGGCCAATCTCTTCTGTCGCTGTTTCTAACTCAAACAGCCGAGAGCAGAGATTATTATACGGTTTCTTAACTTGATATTATTCTCTAGTTTCAGCTGTTGGAACTATTCGCTTTAACTTCATTCTTTTTATGTTGCTTCTAAGAAATTTCAGTGAATAGTTCTGTAGAAACTTTAAAACAACTCCTAATTTCTGTATGTTGTCTTCAAGCAGCCAGACTTTCTAATAAGCTTATAATTTGGTTTTGATCAGTAGTTTTTCAGGCTTTCTAAAGTTTTTTTTAACCTTTGCTGCTTTTTCACACATTTGCTGTTCAGTTCTTGTGACCCCTGAAGAGYGAACAGCTGAAACCTAAACAGTTTGCCTTCTATTGTCTTTTTGAACACGTGAACCATGAGGCCTTCATGGATAAGTGTTTACAGTGTTTGTTTGTGTAAACAACAGGTGGGCCGCTTCATCATTCGTCAGGTGATCGTTATTACCCTCCTCCCCACGGCCCCAAAGAGGACCGCAGCTGGAGTCCTCACATGGACAGCTACGAGCTGGTGGTGGGTCAGTTTTCAAAGTAGGGGTCTCTGCTGTACATAGGGGGAGTTTCTTGTTGTGTGGGCAGAGCTAACTGTGATTGGTCTGATTTATTTGTCTTGCGGGGCAACTTAAAAGAGGAAGTAATGGTAACAGTAAAATTATTGTAAACATGTAAATATGATTTTATTTATGAGTAAAATTAATATTTATAATAAAAAAGGTGCTTCCTGGCAGTTTTGACCAAGTTACTCCCAGCTGCCCCTGGCTTCTTCAAACCCCGCCCAAAATAGTCAATCCAACCAATCACATCTTGGACAAACTCCTCCCACAAAACAAACTCCTAAGTGACTGCAGAGACCCCCTTCTCAAATTTTCTGTACATTTGAAATAAAATATAGCAAATTAGATTTTCAGTAGAGCTTTTCCCACCAGAGTTTACTACATATCTCCTGGTGGGTTTTGACAAGACGACTTGAACAAGCTAACAAACTGATGCAACTTTTGTCACTCAGCTGTGTAGGAATAAGAAAAACACTAAAAGAATGACAAGTTTGAGCCGATTATATGTTGTGTTGTTAGCACCGCGGTCCTGAGAAGTCTGCTGGCTACCACTCTAAGATCGACGCTGAAATCGACTCCCTCACCAGCATGTTGGCTGATCTGGATAGCCACCCACAGGACTCCAGCACTCAGGTTTCAATAAAAGTGACAGTAAAAAGTTAATAATGTGTAAAATATTTCAGTTTTTAAGTTGAATGTTTTGTCTTCCAGCTCTACGACAACGTGCCTTACAATAAATACATCTCAGGAGATCTGTACAAGCACCAGAGTTCAGCTCCTCCTCCTCCTCAGGGTCGGACACCCATCGGCTACAACTCTCACCCCCAGAGCCAGTACCACCCGGCCCCTCCCTACCCCGGAGAGCACCCGAGCCCCCAGTACTCCCACCAGCCGGACTACTACTCCTCTTCCAGCCCTAAAGCCTACCCCCAGCCTGTCCCGGCCTCCTACACCACTGCCTCGACCCCCACCGGCCCGCGGTTCACCGTGCAGGTGAAGACGGCGCAGCCCGTCACCTACTCTCAGACCGGCAGGCAGGCGGAACAGGCCTACACCCCTCCACCGCCCCGCCAGCACACATCACGACCCCCGGCCCAGGTTCAGACCGGTCCGCAGGGCTGGTACCCCTCACACCCCGGCTCACAAGTTCAGGAGATGCACTCCGAGGGGGGGTACAAGGGCAGCAGTCTGGGGTCGGGAGGACGAGGTAACCAGGTTCCACTGCCAAAGAGAGGGATGGAAAAAACTCAGATGGGGTCTGTGCAGACCTCTTCTTACCAGTCCAACAAGGTTAGAGGCCCAGATCTGTGTCTACTGCCATCAGATTTAGTTTAATATTGTACTTGTAGGTGTCATAATCTAAAAATACCAGGAAGCAAGTGCTTTACATTATTGTTTGGCTGTTTCTAACGTGTTGTGACCTCTTTCTTCCAGCAGGGAGCAGCAACACCGAGGCCTGAAGAAGAGCTGGACCGGCTCACCAAGAAGCTGGTATACGACATGAACCACCCGCCTGCAGAGGACTACTTTGGTACAGCAGCCTCAGAGAAATCATCCAAATGAGCCGTGAGGGTTTGTAAAAAATAGAAAAAAAAGACCGTTTTTAAATATTTCCTACCAACGTGTCCACTCACAGGACGCTGCGCTCGCTGCGGTGATAACGTGGTCGGAGACGGCAGCGGCTGCATCGCCATGGAGCAGGTCTTCCACGTGGAGTGTTTCACGTGCATCACCTGCCACGCCCGGCTGAGGGGGCAGCCGTTCTACGCACTGGAAAAGAAGAGTTACTGTGAGAGTTGTTACATTGTGAGTGAGGGAAACTAAACACAGAGTTTGTTGACAGGTTGCACTTTTATCGTGTTTGAGTTGAGTTTTCGTGATATTTACTGTTTGTCTTTAGAGTACATTGGAGCGTTGCTCAAAGTGCTCAAAGCCCATCCTGGACCGGATCCTGCGGGCCATGGGGAAGGCCTACCATCCTCGCTGTTTCACCTGTGTGGTCTGTAACTGCTGCCTGGACGGCGTGCCCTTCACTGTAGACGCCACGTCTCAGATACACTGCATAGAAGACTTCCATCGGTACACGCACAAAAACACACAAACATTTAAGGTTGGGCCAAATTGGTGTAAAAATCTATCATGAATAGGGCTGGGTAAAAAAAATCGATTTTATCAATCTTTGATCGATTTCATTTAAATTTAGGAAAATCGGTTCACAGGACATGAGATCGATTCTTCACCATGGCGTCTTGTGCGCATTTCTGAGGCGCGTTTCTATTTTTTGTCACTCCTGGCTTGCTTTATATTTACATCAGGTTGACATTCAGTGCTAACATTAGCTTTCAATAGCAAGTTGTCTGGATCAAAACAAAAGAAACTAAGGAATGACTAACGTTACCAGCCGACTCTCAGCAGAACTTAAAGACAACAGAGACCATGGTGACTTTTGTTTGCAAAGATTTGCGCTCCTACATGGTGGAGGAAACGAAGTGGGGTTTGACGAGCAGCTCTCATTCAGGTGCTCAAACCAAACTACAGTATGTAAACATCTGAACTGTTCTCCACCTGCATGTTTAAACGTGTTAAAGATGACATTCTAACAAAATTGTTTAGTTTTGTTACCAATATTGTTATTTTTAAACTTTAAGAAACATCTTAATGAAATCCACAGTGATGAAATTTTGTAGTTGTTTTTAATAAGTTATATGTATTAAGT